ATAGGTGCCTAATAAACAGTGTCTGGTTCTTTTTTTAAAAAACCAGTTCTCTGAGAACGTAGTCCAAATGCGCCCACACTTACTCTTTAATTCACTGCAATCCAGCTTTCAGTCATTCACCTATAAATAGCTCTCTCAAACAGAACCAGATCTCTTCATTGCCAAACCTAGCATCTTCTTGCTTGGCCCGTTACCTGATTTTCTGTCACCGGATATCACTGACTTCTTCTCCTTAGAGATATCTCTTTTTAACTTCTCTTTTAGCTCCTCAACTGTTCCTACTAAATCTACTGTCTCTTCAGCCTTCGCTTCAAGGGTGCCTGTTCTGGCTTCCTGTTTGGAAGGTGGTCAGCCTGACAGGAACAGGGAGGCAAGGCAAAATGGGTCAGTGGTGTACGCTGTACAAATTTCTGAGTGGGAGGTCTGGAAGAGTGTGTAGTGCACACGTGCGTGGCATATCAGTGCAAGTCCCAAGTCGTGTATTTTAGGTAGCTATTCTTGCTGGGAACAGCCCTCTACTCCCTTCCTTACCCTGGTAATCATAAATGTTTTAATAGGACCTAAGCTTATTAACAGCAGTTGAAGAGGCTAGAACTCCTTAGTCCCTAAATTGCTGTTGAAATCATTAATTGAAAGTGTAAATATAAGCAAATAGGGTTATCATAGGAAGTCCATCATGGGTATCAACCATATATTGGGTCGTCGGAAAAGTCGTGAAGCATTTTTCTATGCAAAACTGTTTCATGACTTTTCCAGCGATCCAATAGTATAAACCAGGAAAAACTTTTGCTCACAATAGAACTTAGAGTCCTGACATGAGAAGGCCATTGAAGGCAGAGTCTTGATATTCTCTTATGACAAAGCTCCTTCTCTGGGAAGTCCCCACTGCCCCTCTGAACCCCTGCTACCTCCAACTTGGGTAGAGAAGCGATCTGGAAGGAAGAAGTTGAGGACGGGTTGGAGGGCCAGTTGGGAATGTAGATCCCTCCTGTGTTTTTTTGGATCTTTGGCCTCGTGTCTCTACTGTTAGTGTGAGAAAGATCTGACATGTACCGTCATCTGAAATGGGCACATCAGGCAGAGATGTGGGAACTGTGTGGAGGGGGAGTTCTTTTCTCAGCACTCAAGCACTGAACTGTGTTCCTATTTAGGTTCCCTTCTTTGTCTGCATGGGCAGAGGCTTTCAAAACGAGCCATCCCCCACCGCACAGAGCCTTTGCCTCCAATCTGAGTGTGATCATCAGATGGGCCTTTCTCTTCCCTTCCCTGGCCTCCCTGTCCTTGATTGGTTTTCTACCTTGTCTTTGTATAAGTACCACACACCAACCCATTATGCCACTGGAGCTCCTCTACCTTTGGAAACCTTTTGCTTCTCAGATTCAGTCACCATTTTCCCCTTGGATACTTCATAATTGTTCTTTTATACTTATAGAACACCATCCAGCTCCCTTCCAACTCAAAACCCGTTGAAACATAGCTTTGAATCTGACAAAGTGGTACCCAATATGGTACCCACTGACCATTATTTCTTATGCCACCATCAAAATAAATCTTTGACCCCCTTGAAAAGATCCTGGCCACTTCAGAAGTAGAATCCTCACTCTTACTCGGGAACCTCCATTTGGTTCTGGGTTGCCTCACCTTCTTTCTTATAGTTCTTACTTCAAGCTCAAGTAGCAAAGATTCATCCAGAGTCAGTGTCGTCATTCACTGAGCCGGAGTTTCTGAGGCTGTCCCAAGCTTTCCGCTCTAACTGTAATATGATAGTACCCCAGATCCTGAGAGTTCCCGTAGTTTCATCTCTCTTAGTTGGGAGATTTTCCACACCTGGGGGTAGGGTCACTGAGAAGATGCACAAACACCCTTGCTGCAAGGCCTGACCTATAGTGTCTACTAGAGTTATGTTCAGCTAGGCACTACGCAGCACCCTCACCTACTCCTCTCCTTGTCACCGGGTTGCAGGCAGTAAGCACGTATGTGAGGGGGTTACCCTTAGCGCATACCTGGAAGACTTCCCATACACATACCTGGAGAACTTGTCAGGGGGTGCAGGCTTCACAGCAAATTCTGCACAAGGTGGCACATTTTACTACCTATCAGTGAGATTTCTTCTCATTTCAGCTTCTGGATAGAACACAGTTACTAATGCACAAACTGTCCCTTGATATAAAGATCTTGCGAGTATTAACAAGACTCTACGTAGTGCCAGTCAGGATAAAGGACCATGAACACCTGCTCCTGTGCCTCCAAACTGTGTCTCAGTTGGTTTAAAAGGGAGAGGAATCTTGTCTGATGCTATAGGATCAGGTTGTTAATGGGCTTTGCAGAAACAGATGTTCCTAATTAATTTCCTGGAGTACCCACTGAACTTTATTTCCCAGGAAATGGGTGGTTGTGGTCAGGAGATGATGACAGAAATCTTTTCTAATCATGGGATTTCTATCTATTGGGTTGTCAGAAAAATCATGGTGTGTTTTTGTCTGCAAAAATGCGTCACGACTTTTCTGACAACCCAGTATTTTAGACTAGGGTATGCCCCCTCTTACTTTTGTATTGGCCTTGCTCAACTGGCGTTTGAGTGTAATTTTAAACTAGCTTCACCTCGTATATCAGTTTGGGTACCAACAGGAAACAGATGGAATACTTATATTAGGATAATTAAGGAGGGTTTTTTTTGTGTGTTTTTGTTTTTATTTTCACAAAGAGACCATCACAAAGATGTCTATGAGGTACAGAAGAACTGTAAGAAAGCACAGTGCAAGGACCAAAGGCATGAAGCACTGAACAGTTATTATTCCTAGCCCCAAAGGGACGAGCAGGAGAGTCAGATAAGAAGACTTCCTCCATACACTGGCCTCAGTCTCTTCATACATTCTGATGTCCTGTGGGATCTTGCTGGCAGAACCCAACTTGATAAGCCAGAGGGCGCAGGGGTCCATTGATCTAGCCCACATGCTTTAGACTCTCTGGGCACAGAGCAAGACAGAGAGTGGATCTGGAGGAGCAAATTAAAGATATCTGGTCCACATGGGAAGTCTAGGATAGATCTAGGATAAATGAAATTCTTTTAAAATTTTTTTCTGTAGAGCACATGTGCTCACTGGAAAGACAGAGGGAGAGAGGGAGAGAGAGAGAGAGAGAGAGAGAGAGAGAAATCACCCCCCCCACACACACACACACACCTGGGAGGATGGCCACACAGCAATCCCTTCTGTATTCTCCTCTGAGGATTCTGAGCACACACGCACATGCCGGGTGTGATTTTCAAGCTGCTGGGTCTGACACTTGAACCACAGAGTCGGTCATGTGGGACCCAGCCGCCTTAACCTCCACAGCCCCTGCTGACCCTGAAATTTATTTTTTGATATACTTTGTGAATGACGTTCCAAAGATAATGATGTCCTCAGGGGTACTGACACTGCCAAGCACACCTTTTTACTCACTATTTTATTAAGCATGGAAAGGGAGCAGAGGTCTTGAGATTCTGAAGTATCCTCTTGAATTAGTTTGGTCAGAGGGTTATAAAGATTGTTTTCTCCTTTCTCAGCGTTCCTTTATCTGATAATATTTGCTTTGCTCAGCTAATACAGGGTTGGGTTCCCTGTAGAAAGGGGCAATAAGGGGAACCAGCAGTTAGCGTAATGGCTATGTCGCTGGACTCCCACATAGTCGACCGCGGTTCGTGTCCCGGACCCGGTGGCTTAAAACTCACGCTGGGCGCGTGTGCGTGCGTGCCCAAGATCCTGAGAGGAGAATGGAGGAGAAGGGATTGCGGCGTGACCATCCCCCCTGGGGGGTGATTTCTCGCTTTCTGTCTCTATGTCTCTCTCTGTCTGTCTGGCGAGCGCACGCGCCCTACAGTGAAAATCTCTCCAAAAAATAAAAAAAAAAGAAAGGGGCAATAAGGAAGGACTGCAGGCAGGAATGGAAAGGAAAGTAGTGTGTGGGGAAAGGGAGCGTGTTTTATGGGACAGGCAGCGATGGAGAAAAGGCTTTGGAACCCATGGGCCAAGACCCAGGGCATTTGGAGTCAGTGACTGGTCCCGGCATTGGCTGAGCTGTCCTGCCTCTGCAGAACGGCCAAACTGACACTTCCTTGCTGGGTTCACCTTCTACGGTGCTTCTAAGAGTTTGGAAATTAAAACTTTTTGCTCAGAAGGCTCAGTGTGCCGAAGATACTTAGGAGTAGCAAAGACAGATGAACTTGGGGTCTGGCTGAAGCATGGTGTGATGTCTCAGAGTTCAGATTCTAAAGTTGGACTGCCAGAGATGATTTTCTGTCTCTACTTCTGTAGCTGCTGTGACCTTGGAAAAATTACCTAACTTCTTTGTTTCCAGTTCCCACAGCTGTAAAATGGAAATGGTAATACTATTACTAATACTAATACTATCATTTCCAGAGTTCTGAGGAGGAATCCATTATTTGGTATTTGCAAAGTTCTCAGGAAGAGCCCAGTACATAGAAGGCCCTCGATCCATGTTTGTTGAATCAAATTTGAATTGCTCTATTTGCTGAGCATCTTTTCTCGGGCTACCCATCAAAGAGTGCTTGAGGTTGTTGGTGTTTCTTTCCTGTCTGCTAATGCACATCCAACTTGACTGTTTAAGATTATGGGTTATGTGTTTTAGGGAGTGATGACCAAACTGCCTTTGGGAAAAATAAGCCCTCTTCTGAATAAGGAATTGGAACATTCCTCTGTCCTTTGGGAACAGAGAAGGAGTAGATCCCCGATATGATCAGTGTCCACTTCTACGGTAGGAGATGACCAAGGATATTGCTGGCCCAGGCTGAGTAGGGTTATTCTGACTTGCTGTCCATTGGTGAGGTTTGACTTGGCCTTCGAGTCATCACTGGGATTCTACGTAAATCCTCCCTGGCTGAATAATGTTCTTTGTTGACTAAGAGCAAATTCAGCCTTGAGACAGATAATCTAAATTCTGTGAATTGATAAAAAGGGAATGAAGTAACTCTTGTATCTTAACTTTGGGGTTCCCATCAGGAGGAATCTGCAGCCTGTCACCAAAGCAAGACACTTCTGCAAAACACATGCTGCCTTGTTCAAGAAGATTCTGCTGGGCCTGCTGTGTTTGGGTAAGATACCGAGAATTTATGGAAGTGAGAAACACAGCCATCTTAGGAATGTTCCCTGGGTCAAGACAATTACCAGGTGGAAAGCACTTTCATTCACAGAACGGTCTAAAGGGCTATTTGATGTGTAGATCTTAACTACTGGTAAGTGAACCATAAGTTATTGAACTGCTCTGATAGGGACAAGTAAAATCTGAGAATAAACTATTTTTCAAAACTGGAGTATTTGATAAGCTTAAAATATTTCAGAGAACATGGGTGCATCTCTTTTTTAGTGTCTCGATTTGATGCAGGACATGATTCTTGTACTCTGTGAGAAGAACCTGTATTATACATTATTTATTTGCTGGTTTACCAGTTAGATTGGTGATATAAAATATTTTTAAAAGACAATAAACTTCTGTGTAAAATATGCCATCAGAGAGATATGGGGCTTTGATAAAACATTAGCTGGGATGGTGAGGGCTGAAGTTATATTTTGGGATGAGTCAGGGAGTCATGGGATGAGGGCTATATAGCTGTGCTTCCTCATGGTATCCTTGTTTAGATGGTTTTACTCAAAAGGAAAGGTTAACGTAACAGGGATAATAAAAATTTCAAGAAAAAAATAACTTATTTTTATGTTATTTTATTTTATTTTTTTGAGAGATTTTTGCTATAGGGTATATGTGCTCTCTAGAGAAAGAGAGAGAGACAGAAAGCGAGAAATCATCCCCCAGAGGGGATGGCCATGATGCAATCCCTTCTCCTCCACATGCACACATGCCAAGCATGGGTTCTAAGCTGCCGCGTCCAAAACTCGAACTGTGGTTGAGTACATGGGAGTCCAGCAACGTAACCATTAGGCCATCTGCTGGTCTCAATTTTTATTTTTTAATTTTATTTTTTTAAGTGCCAGAGAGCACATGCAGAGAGAAAGAGCGAAAAGGCACCATCTCAGTGGGAGTGTGGTCACACTGTGATCCCTTCTTCTCCATTTTTCTATCTTGTTGGGATTTTGTGCACACACATATATGTACCTAGCATGTTCTTCAAGCTGCTGGGAGTGAGAGTCATACTGCGATTGGCCGTGTGGAATCTAGTGCCATTAACCACTAGGCTCTGGAGACGGCCTGAAATGACTTTTGTTTTTGTTTTTTTGTTTGTTTGTTTTAGTTTTTGGTACAGGGTGCATGTGCTTAACAGAAAGAGACAGAGGGAGAGAAAGTGAGAAATCACCCTCACTCCCAAAGGGGGATGACCACACCACAATCCCTTCTCCTCTAGTCCTCTCTCAGGATTTTGGGCACTTGCACGCACACATGCAGTGTGATTTCCAAGCTGCCAGGTCTGGGACTCAAACCATAGTCGGCCATCTGGGGTCCAGCACCTTAGTCACCACACCACCTGCTGGCCACAGAGCTGACTGATTTTTAAAGTCTAATAACATGATCAAATCTACTTCAAGGGACAAAGAGAGGATATCAGATAAACTAGAAGGAGTGAGATTTCATTAGAGACGAGGCACCATAGGCAATCTCTAAGCCTGCCCTTTGTTGGACATCCTCAGGAAGAGAACAGTGAAGTCTCTGCTGCCTCCAGAAGTGCAGCTCAGCCTGACACCAGGGCTGGGTGCCAGGTATCTGGAGGGCTTGTCTCACGTTTGTCTCAGGTGTCTGTGGCTGGACATTTGCCCCTTGGAAGCTCTGCTTTGCTGATCTTTAATCTGTACCTTCTCTTTTTAGCTTACGCTGCCTACTTCCTGACAGCTTGCATCTTGAATTTCCAGAGGGCACTGGCCTTGTTTGTCATTACCTGTTTAGTGATCTTTGTCCTGGCTCACCACTTTCTGAACAAGTTTTTTGGTGAAAAATTAACAAGCTGTCTGCAGCCCTTTAAAAACTCCCGCCTGAGGCGTTGGATGAAATGGTAAGATGAGAATCTCAGTATCTCGGGTCCCACGGCTTCTCCCAAACCCAGGTGGCCTCTACTTTCTCCTTTGATACTTTATGAACTGTCTCTCAGACCCTCCCTTGTCTTTTCAAATCCAAGGCACAGAGAACAAATAGCAACAGGCCTCTGAGGCTGGACCTCAGTCCAGTTTTCACTGAGCCTTGATCTCAACAACGCTAGCTGGTGGGAGGGGTTCGGTTTCAGAGAAGAGTTTCAGCCTGTTTACTATCAGGGCCTGACTCAGAAAGGAGAAAAGTCAAATTCCTCTTTAATGAGGTAATCTGAATAAAGATGCTTACAGCTGCTTAAGCAATCAGGTTGACTTGGTGGTCAACTGTGTCTGCTCACTGGAGAGAGAGAGAGAAAGGAAGAGGAAGTGAGAAAGCATCCCCCTGTGGGGATGGCCATGCCACAATCCCTCTGTTCCATTCTCTTCTCAGGATTTTGGGCATATATGCACATGCACCTGGCATATTTTTCAAGCTATTAGGTCTGGGACTCGAACCATGCTGTTGGCTGTGTGGGACCCAGTGTCTTAACCACCATGCCACTGGCTAACCTAGTTCCCTGATACTTTTTTTATAGAGATCTTTGCTGTAAGGCATGTGTGCTTGCCAGAGAGACAGAGAGACAGAAAGCAAGAAATCATCCCCCATGGGGGATGGCCACGCTGCAATCCCTTCTTCTCCACTCTCTTCTTTAGGATTTTGGGCACACATGCACGCACATGCGCCTGGTGTGTTTTAAGCCACTGGGTCTGTGACTCAAACTACAGTCAACTATGTGGAAGCCTAGTGACAAAACCACTACGCCATTTGCTAGTTCCGCCATAATACTTTCTATGCTCTTTCCCCTCTAGTCCTCCAGGCATCCTGCACCCACTTATGTCTTTTACAATTCCTTAGAGTTCATGGAGCAAAACATACTGTTCAGTATACACTGAAATGGATTCTACAGTGGCCACCACACATCTGACGATGGCATGCACGTGTCCTTTGATCACAGGTCAGGGTGGGAGAATAACTTTCAGACTCCCTCTAACTTCCTCTTCCCTGCCCATTCTCCAGAGGATGCACAGAAAATAGGTATTAATTTGGAGAAACCACACCAGACTATCACCTAGACTTTAGATCACTGATTAATTAATTTTTAGTTTTTGCTATAAGGCATGGGTACTTGTCAAAGGAAGACAGAGGATTATTAATTGACTTGACATTGGGAGGACAGCACTAAAAGGATTTTATTCATTAGGAAGGTGGGTTTTATTCACTTAAAGTGAAATGAGTTTATAGTGAGTTCAGCTCTGAATTTCAACCCTGATCTTGGAATGCCTTTTGTTGTTTTACTCTTAGGTGTCTTTGTTGTTGTTGTTATTGTTTGTTTTTCATCTGTGATCTTCCTTCTAATCCTTTCCCCCTTGAACTTGAAGGACTCGAACATTCAGTCATGAGGAAACCAGGCCTTGTCTTGAACAAATGTTTTTGGTACACAAAAAGCCCGTAGCACCATAGTAGTTGATTCATAGCTTAGCATTTACTCTTGCCTTGAAGTGGTTAGATATTGGGTAAAGATCCACAGGGGACCAAAACATATTTTTCCTTCCTTTTTTTGGTAATATATATTTAATACTAGAGGACACGTGCATGAGAGAGAGAGAGAGAGAGAGAGAATGAGAGAGAGAGAATGAGAGAGAAGCACCCCTCAGTAGGGCCTGGTTACACCACAATTCCTTTTCCTCCAGTTATCCAATCCAACAGACTCCTGGCCATGTATGCACACACAATATCACAGTATGTCTTTCAAGTCACAGGGCATGGACTTGAAACCTGGTTGGCCACATGGAATCAGCCTCTGCACAGCGCTTAATGACTGTGCCATGGGGTCAGCCTCCCCCTTTGATTTTTTTTTTTTGAGAGATTTTCACTGTAGGGCGCGTGCGCTCGCCAGACAGACAGAGAGAGACATAGAGACAGAAAGCGAGAAATCACCCCCCAGGGGGGATGGGCACGCACGCACACGCGCCCGGCGTGAGTTTTAAGCCACTGGGTCCGGGACACGAACCGCGGTCGACTACGTGGGAGTCCAGCGACATAGCCATTACGCTAACTGCTGGTTCCCCCCCTCCTTTGATTTTTAATTCTTTGGTTACTCACTGGAATAAACTTCAAGAACGAGTCTCACATTTTATTTGAGATGATAATTTAAGGAGCAGGAAGTCATGTGATTTGTGCCCTCAGAAGGGAATTTTCGGCTTCAATTTGTAAGATTAGAGGAGAGACTCAGAAGGGAATTTTCGGCTTCAATTTGTAAGATTGGGGCCTTGGGAGAGAAAGCCCTCGAAACTAACTCCTTGTCGATTTGACAGGCCATTGCCCCTAACATGGAGGAGAGAGACATGAAGCTAGAGAACTACCTGATAATGATAGTTATCATAATGATTCTTAATGTCTCTGTGTTGATCTACAATAAACAATCGAATCACTTATCCATGTGGGTGAACTTCCATTTTTTTAGAGGTATCGTTAATTATTTATTCACTGCACTGATGACACGGTGTTGGCATTCCGTCTTCAGGGTGTTTTCGGGAGTCTCCTTGGTCGGCCTCATACTGTGGCTGGCTCTAGACACAGCCCAGAAACCAGAGCAGCTGATCTCTTTCGCAGGAATCTGCATGTTCGTCCTCATCCTCTTTGCCTGCTCCAAACACCACAGTGCAGTGAGTTTTGGGTCTTCGGGTTGGGCATAATAGCACGCAGCCAAGGACCAAGTACAAATTATAAGGGCACAGGTCAAGTATTAATTACAAAGGGATTTTCCTGGAACTTTCTTCCTTGACAAGTTTGTTCTTAAGAGCAGTTTGAAAGTTCTCTGAGGTGCTACCAATCGTCCTTTTCTTCGCAAACTATACATTGTGATCCATTAGTGAGTCTCGATAATCAATTTTATAGATCTGGGCAAGTATTAAAGAAAGGATAAAAGAAAAAGAGAGATGGAAATAAAAACGAAATTCAGTAGAAAATCAGCTTCCATTACACATATTGATTTTTTTTTAAAGAGAGATTTTTGTTATAGGGCATGTGCACTCACCAGAGAGAAAGACGGAAAGCTAGAAATCATTCCCTGGGGGATGGCCATGCCACAATCCCTTCTCCTCCATTCTCCTCTCGGGATTTTGGGCACTCATGCACATGTGTCCAGCATGAGTTTTAAGCTACCAGGTCCAAGACTCGAACTACCTGGGAGTTTAGCAATGTAACCATTATGCCCATCTGCTGGTCCCACATTTAGTAATGTTAAAGTATTGGTTTGTGACATTTTTATTTTTAAGTGTGCATGTAAAGATGTCATCTAACCTGTAGGCATATTTCTGAAAACTATGTAGATATATGTGGCTCTTTACATATTACTGCCCTGTTTCTCCTTCTCCAACCTCTGTGCTCTGTACGCCGTCTTACCTCAGATTTACTGTTAATATCAGGTTGGTTCCCCCCAGAGTTTGTATACCCATATCTGAAACTCCAACCAGGGAATGAACAGGTAGGTTTAGAACTCGCATTGGAATAATTTTCTTATCTACCCTAGGTGTCCTGGAGGGCCGTGTTTTGGGGCCTGGGTCTTCAGTTTGTCTTTGGGATCTTGGTCATCAGAACCGATCCTGGATTTAATGCATTTCAATGGCTGGGAGATCAGATTCAGGTATGAGAAACTGAAAGTGAGGGCTTTATTCTTAGAAGTCCCCATAAAGAGAGTTGGAGGGAAACATAGGAAGGTTAGGCTGTATCTTGTGGCAGGAGATCTGGTGGGAAACAAGAGAATATCTTGGAGGTACAGCTAAGAAAATGAATAAAGAGACCTGAACTGCGGAGTCCTCTACATTTAATGAGCCCCTGGGCTGTCAAAGGGAAGCCAACCTGAATAGTAGCAGTTCCTAATCAGGCCTGAGGTGGATCCCATCCTCCCCTGTGTCCCTCCTAGCTTCACTCTGACTGTCTTGTTTTTTTCTTTTTTTCCCCCTCAGATTTTCCTGAATTACACTGTGGCCGGCTCCAGTTTTGTCTTTGGGGATGCACTGGTCAACAATGTTTTTGCATTTCAGGTCATATCTCTTTAATGGGCTGGAATGATGGTCAACAGAGGGCTCAGGAAGTAAAGCAAAGGATGAAAATGTGTGTCCAAGAAACCAGCTAGCCTGTATACTGATGGGATTAAGCCTATCCGTAAAGGAAACAGCATCAATCTCTTGACCTTTGATCATTACTATCCTGAAACTGGATGAAATAGGGGTTGGTGGAGGGAAGGTTCACAAAACTCATTGTGGTTTGGCACTGATTTGCTATATATTTTAAATGTATTCCAAACTACTTTGTATACATACTGAGTGTCTGCACTCTGTCAGATGCCCTTAGACTGTGGAGAACTTAACTAAGAGGCCTGACACACAGTCCACTTATGGTAAACAGCACATGCATGCCCTGTCTCCCCAGCTGCCCATCCTTCTCATTACAGAGCTTACCAATCATCCTTTTCTTTGGATGTGTGATGTCCATTCTCTACTACCTGGGCCTTGTGCAGTGGGTGATTCAGAAGGTGAGTCATTCTCTTACATGAGTCAGGAGATAGGCCTTCATCTTGAGATCTGTCAGGAGGCACGAAGATGAAACTTATTTTGGAGAGATGCTCCTATGAGGGGTCCAGTGGTAGAACCAGTGTGAAAAGGCAACCCCTTCCACGTATGCCTGGTATTAAATGGTCAGCCCAGGTCTAGGTAGGTTGGGGGAGTAGCACAGCGAGAGAAAACAGGCTAGACTACTTTTTCATACTGAGGTGTTTTGCATGTATGTGTGTTTATTTATTATTTCCGTGAGCAAGAAAGACAGAGAGGGAGAGAGACAGAGACAGAGAGACAGTGCCTCCAACAGGGTCTTCACCTGCTGTCCACCCCCAGCATTAACCAACCCCAGACCCAATCCCCCATTTCAGCCAGCCCTGGATCATGGGCATGCCTGTGCTTAGCTTACTCAGGGAGGTCTCTGACATGAACCCAGAACCTTCTCAAGTGGGTCAGCCTCACAGAGTGACATGTTTTGCCACTGTGCCAGTGTCCAGCTCCTCCATACTAAGTTTTAAGACACTTATTTTAGAAGCCAAGAGTACTAGGTTCTGGTCAAGGTTCTTTGCAGTTTGTTTTGCAGCCTTGGGCTTGCATTTTACTCCTCTAGGCCTTGGGTTCCTTCTCAGTAAAATGGAGTAGGAGGGATTTGGCTGGGCATTCTCCGAGATTCCTGTTCATGTTAATAGTTTAGGGCTCTGTATCTTTTTAGATTGCCTGGTTTTTGCAAGTCACCATGGGCACCACTGCCACAGAGACCCTGGCTGTGGCAGGGAACATCTTTGTGGGTATGGTAAGCACCCTGAGGCCTTCTGGTCTTCTTTTTTCTGGTAACTGAGAATTTGGCAGAAAACAGGTATAGAAAAGTAGCTTTCCTTCTGAAAAGTCAATAAATGAAGCCTGTGGAGCAGCCGGTCCCTGGTGGAAGAAACCTCAAACGCTCATAGGGACCTCGATTCAGGACTTTCACCCTTCATGCCTAATAATACTCATCTGGACGGACAGCCTTACCCACAATCCAACCTCTTACACAGGGAGTTAGGAGCATGTCCTTGCCCACGTGTTATTTCCATTCAGGGCTACAAAGGGTGTTTAGTCTCTATTCTGGTTTATCCCTGTGACTCCCTATGACCTTGGTTTTCCAGGGTCTCTAAGGAGACAAAAGCTTGGGCTAACCCCGAGGTTCTTCCTCATCATATATAATCTATCGTTTGTGGTGTGGAGTGGGTGTTACATATATGCTGTTGACCAATCAGTTCATGTTAAGGACAATGGCCTGTCAAATCGACAAGGAGTTAGTTTCAAGGGCTTTCTCTCCCAAGGCCCCAAGCTCTCAGAGTTCTTCTGGATAGTTCTATAGCCTTCCATGTTTTGCTGAAATTATCCACAGTCAACTTCATTTCTTCTGCTAGGCTATCAGTGCCTAAGAGTGGGAACTATGGCTTATTCATATGAATATTCCCAGCTTCTAGTGTAGCATTAGGCACAGAGTTGGCACTCATTTAATGAAAAAGGACATGATGTAGGTTGGAGGTTGGATACAGTTTATGTGATTCAGCCTTCATTATTTCATAACATTTTCACAAATATTTCTTTTTTTATTATTTAAAAAAAATTTTAAAGAGATTTTTGCCATAGGGTGTGTGCGTTCATTGGAGAGAGAAAGAAACAGACAGTGAGAGGGAAAGCGAGAAATCACCCCCCGAGGAGTGATGACCATGCCACAATCCCTTCTCCTCCATCCTCCTCCTGAGATCTTGGGCATGCACACACATGCACCCAGTGTGATTTTTAAGCAACCAGGTCCGAGACTTGAACCATGGTCAGCCATGTGGGAGTCCAGTGATGTAACCACTATGCTATCTGCTGGTCCCCACAAATATTTTTAATTTTTTAATAAACAGAGGGCTTAGATCATCTATTCACAATTCATTTAATGAATACTTTTTAAGCATTCAGTACCCACTAAGTGTACTATGTTCCATCAATTTATTCAGTAATAGCATTGTTTAGACATGGGAAACATACAGAGGGAAAATGCCTTTTCTTTCTCATAGCGTTTAAAAATAAAATAGAGGAGACAAACATATGCGGAAACAGGTAAGAACCATGCCAAGCAGGACATAATCAAGTGCTGGAGGGAGTGAGGCAGCGTCTGGGAGGGCCTGAGAGCTGAGCTCCTTGCTCACCAAGTAAGGCTGTGTCTCACCGAGCAGCGCCCCCACTGGAGAGATGTGTGTCTAACAGGTCCGGTCCCTGGGGCTGGGAAGGGCCCTCTGCGGTAGGAGACACACCCTCTTGGAATCTTTTTTCTCTCCTTGTTTGTAGACAGAGGCGCCTCTGCTCATCCGTCCCTACCTTCCAGACATGACCCTCTCTGAAATCCATGCGGTGATGACTGGAGGCTTTGCCACCGTTTCCGGCACTGTGCTGGGAGCCTTCATCTCCTTTGGGGTAGGCGTAGTCCTGGAGTAACCAAGTACACAGGGAGCCCGCGTTGAGTCCCCAGAAACGCTGACCGCTAACTCCGGCCTTGCAGATTGATGCGGCATCCTTAATTTCTGCCTCTGTGATGGCTGCCCCTTGTGCTCTAGCCTTGTCAAAGCTGGTGTATCCAGAAGTGGAGGAGTCCAAGTTCAAGAGTCAGGAGGGGGTAAAGCTGCCCCGTGGGTGAGTACAGTAAGGCATATGATTTGGGGGTTAGTGAGGTAGGGGCACTGTTGGGGCAGAGATGTCTCATCTCCCGGGGGAGAATGGAGTGATTCCATAGCCCCTCTTGTCTATCTCTGCCTCTAGCTAATCATGTTGCTTTTCTTTTGTTTAACTTCCACCTGTCACTAGCTTCTGCATGCCAGCACTCCTTGTCCTCGGTACAGTGAAATTTCAGGCAATTGTATTTCATATTTCTTCAGAGTAACTTCCGTGACTAAAGTCACAAAGGAACCCCTGTCACCCCTTATACAGGCTTTGCACCCTTCTCCTGCACTAAGGGGCAGTGGGATTTCTCTTCTCTGAGGGGCTAAGACTACTTTAGATAGCAT